TATAATTAATGGGAAAGAAAAATAGATAAAACTATCAGAAAATTTGGCTTTGATACACATAAAATGAATATTTATTTTTAAGCCAAACAGTATAATTCTTGATATGCAACATAATATTAGTCAAAATTGGTTTTAAATGAGAAACTGCAATGAACTAAAGTACACAGGAAACAGCCAGAGTTGATCATACCCTAGGATATGTTGTATATTGTACTACCAGGTGCCATAGGGCTTATGGGAAATAAAGGTGATTGGTAAGAACACACAGGTTACTTGGGAGTGGAATTTGCAGGCTGTTTCCCAGGGTCAGACACCTGGTGTTGAATCTTCCAGACTTTCTGTGTGTCCCTCGTATGCAGTAGTGCCATTAGGTTACTAGTGGATAGGCTGTACCTTGACTGGTCTTTTTGCAGATAATTTTATGAGGCCCGTGTATCTTGGCTATTATTGCAGCCACTTTTTCAACTAATTTCCATCATAGGTCTTTCTTGTGCTGTTAAATTTTGGGAAAAAAATAAGTATCATTTATGGACTACACAGTAGTCTTGTTTGGGGTGGGCTTTTCATACCTAATCCCAAATCTAGTGTAATTCCTGCATGATGGCAGAAAGAAAAGGAAAAGAATGGTTGAGTCTTTAAGTGGATTATAAACTTTGACAACTTCCTCTGATACTGTCAGAAATAAAATAACATATTTCTGTACATATCAGCCACCTGAAGATGAGAAGGCACCCAGGCCTACAGAGACCATCACTGCCCACACATGAGGGACAGCCAGCCAGAGGGCACAGGGAACATGAGCCACATATGTATAAATATAAAGCTGAGGCCTAGAAAGCCAGTGATTCACTCAAGGTTACCCAGCTCAAGATCCCCATGAATGGTACCATTAGATCCCCATGAATGTTTGGAGAGAGAGGTCCTGGTTGTGTACAGAGCTCTTCCTTGTTTGTCTAGGCACAGGGCTGGCAGAGTCCTGCTTTACCAGATGTGTTTACAAAAACAAGGATGGGGAAGGAAGTGTGTTTAAGCTGAGAGCAGTCTCACAGGGTAATCACTGGGACACCGACTTTATCTGCATGGTTCCTGGAACACATTGACTTTGCTTTTGCTTCTGAGGTCTGTGCTCCAAAAACCTGCAGATAATGTGGCATGTAGAGAAAGTTGTGAGGTTTCAGAGTCATGCCAAGAGAAAAGTCATGAAAGAAGAAGTGGAGGTATTTCATTTGATTTGGAGAAAACAAGAAGGTAAACATGGATGATTCTATGAAGCAAAATAAATAGTCTTGGGAGAGGAATTAAAATTGCTGTTTCACCATGGACCTAGAAATGCCATTAATAGATGGAGTCTTCGGGAAAACACATTTTGGTTCAGTAAAAAGAGGGACATTCCAAAACACGTTTGATGGAAGATTATCTCTTGGTTAGGTATTATAAAGGACATAATTATTTAGTAGATAGGGTAGACATCCAAGTGCTTTCAAAAATTTAGTTCGTGACTTCATAGACAAAAGTTATTTAAACTCACTTAGTAGCATAGTTTGTTGACAAAATCCAAATTTACCTTTATCAGTTCAGACATCACATTTGTAGATGTTACCAAGAGGAGGGGATTTTCCAGGATGCCCTGATCACAGATCTTTATTTCCAAAGGACAGCCCCCGCCCTCTCAAAACCCATTCTAATGCCCTAGCATTGCTGGGGAATTTTGTGCTGTATGGAGACAGAGTTCTAAGTCCAGAAATTTAAATCATTTGTTCTGTTATTTTCCAATATTTGTTTTAAGTTTTTAATGAGAAGCTTTGACTCTGAATTCCTTCCAGGGAAGCATAGTGGGGCACGGGATGCGGGAGCCGGTTCCCCAGCCACGGAAAGCTGAGGCTGTGCGCACAGAGGACGTTAGACAACTACAGCTCAATGAATCATCAATGTGGTCTGTGGGCGGAAAGGAACAATAAAAATGCAGGGTGCAGCAGCTGAGACAGAAACCAACAGATCCTTTTAAAAACCACAAGCAAGCAGGAAAGTGCTGAACCATAGGCTGTTGCTTTTAGGTGCGCGCTGGCTGTTATTTATTTTATTTATTTTGTTTTTATAGAGTCGGGTGAGCTTGGGGCTAAAAGACTCTTGAGTCTACAAAGCTGAGGCAAAGGATATGGCCAGAGAGAGCTGAGCGCCTTCGTGGAAAAGGAAGGGTAGGGAAGAAAATGTGGATGCATGATTGCACCTTTGACATTAAATACAGTTGTCTTTGAAATTCTCTCCTCCATTAGCTTCTAGGAGAAACTGTACTGTTCATTGTTTTCCCACGTATTTATGCAATTAGTATTTATTGGGCATCCATAGGTGCCAGTCACTTTTCAAGGTGCTGGAGATACAGCACTGAACAAAATGGAAAAATCATCTCTCTGTCCCCATGTGCTGACATTCTCTGTCACTGATCCTCTTTCATTCATTTTGCTCCTTTTTTCTCCTTTTTAATTAAATATACTTACTACAAGCCAGAACCTGTATCAAATATGTGCTATTAGTTCATTTATTCCTCTGAACATCCCTGGAGGAGTGGCACTAACAATGTGCTCCTATTTTACAGGAAGTTTGGCACAGAAAGGTGACACCACTTCCTCTAAGCCCCCACAGCTAGCAAGTTGCAGGATCTTCAGCCTGGGACCAGGGTCTGCTTTTCTAATGGGGACGCTCTGCCCTTTAACTTTATTTTTTTAACATCACATCTTTGATTTTGCTCTTACCTGTCTCTGTTCTTAAAGAATTATCTGCCTAAACGTCAGGGAGATGACCTCAAAACCCTTTTGACCCTGCCCTCAGCCCTAGAATAAGGACCCACAAACCACACAGAAGCCACAAGGACCTGAGTCATCCATCAGTGGCTGCCTCCCTGGGCCCTTATCAGCAGCCACGCGTCCTCATCTGCCCACACACCAGCCTGCCTGGCTGTATCTGCTCACCACAGGGCATTCTGCTCCCTCCCTCCACAGTTCGTGTCCTGTGTGCTGTGTCCTCTGGCTGCTCCTCTTGCCAAAGCCTCTTTGGGCTTGTGCTCACTCACTCTTCAGTTAGCTCAGAGACCTGGAGGACCCGACTGCCCCTGCAGGCTGGTTCAGTCAGTCACATCCTGGCAGCACCAGTGAGGGCCCTTTTCCGCAGTTGTTAGTTGGCCTGACTTCTGGAGGACCTTAAGGGTCCTTGAGCACTAGGCCATACCTCTTGTGCTCGTGTTTGTGGCTGAGCTCATGTTCGCAGCTGAGACTCCTGGCCCCAACATATGCTGAGGAATAACTGACTACAGGCATGCCCACCAGAGCTTCCAACTCAGATTGGAAATTACATTTTGCTCAGGCGGCGGGCGCTGTCACACTTGTTTTCCCGGGGGACCTGAGGAGCCCACCACGCCCATCCTGAGTAGGACTCACATCCTCTCTGTGAAATTATGCTGCGCCTTCTGCGTTTTTCCCAGCTTCCCCACCTCACAGGAGTCACAGTACCGACAGACTCTGCTGGACTTACTCCTTCTAAGGAATGTATTGGCCCACAGTCTTGTCGGCAGAGAGAGCTCCGCAACAACAGAAACACGCCTGCAGGCCTTACAGGACCCTCACTGAAATGGGCCAGATAGTTAAATATTGATTAGTCATGGATGAAGCCCAGCTGGGGAGGAATACAGTCCATGGTTCCACAGCATCCTTCTGCGGTGACACTAGCTGCGCCAGGGGGGCAAGGGTTTAATAGTGTGGGTCACTGTGGAATCAGTGTGTTGTACATTTGAAACCAGTGAAATACTGTGTTCCAAGTATACATCAATAAAAAACATGAATGTTCCCAATTGTTCTGGGGCTGTAGGTCTATCCTGATTGTACACATACCTCTCATTCCTTCATCATGAGCTAACTGGGGAGGCAGAAAATGGGAGTTTGGAAAAAGTTTATGAAATCATTATGCCTCGCAAGGATGAGCAGTCTGTGGGGTCGTTCCAAAACTAGCGCAGGAAAGTGCTGTGGCTCCCCGAGTGAGTCACACACAGGAGCCCGGGAGCAGGGGCTGCCCCGGGGCAGTGGTGGTGATGCCGGGTTCTTGTTTGCGGAGGAGTCGTAGCACACCCAGGGTAGGAGAGTCAGGGCAGAGGCTTCTATTGAGAGATACAGTGAGAGGACAGAGCTCCTGGCTCGCGCCCGGAGGGGACAAGAGAGCCCAGGGTGGTGCACTCTCTGGGGGATTCATAGGCAGTTGGGTATTTTTTTGGGGAACTGGATAAAGTCTTAGGAGTGTGGACTTGGTAAGTGCTCCCTGAATATTTAGAATTAACTTAACACCAGCAACTTCCTGCTCTGATGATTTTTTTTCCCTGAGATACCAGCTGCCTGCCCAGCCCCTAAGGTGGGCTGAGGTATTGTTTGCTAAAAAGTTAAGGTTCTTACTTCTTAAACTTCACGGGTGTTAAAATGCAATGTCATCTTTAAGGTGGAATCCTTCCTGCCTTTTACTATGCTGTTTACAGCTGGGTCTGCATGCTAAATTTGTTGCCCAGTTTGCCAAATCACCTCATCAGATCTGAAGGAGGAAAGACAGCACATAGGCCTGGGCCTTTTAGCATGCTAAAGTGAATCTTACACATGGTTAAAAATGATTAGCATAATAAAACATGTGCTACTCTTCTTTATCTGGGGAACATTAACTGATCTCACTGAAGAATGATTCTAGAGCTCAATGTTTAACATAGAGTTTTAGTAGGGGGGTTTCCTTGCATGTAGTTACATTGCTCTGACCGTAAATATCTTGCCTTGCTCTTTCCAGGGGCCCTCATCCTATGCTGTCTAAGCTCATGGTCCCTGTCTCAGGGGAACTCCGCAGCTGCGCTAGGCCTCCTGATGGTCGGGCTCCAGGGTGTACCCCGGCGGACCTGCCCGGGAGTGGCTGCCGTGGGCCCCGCCCGCTGCCCGCCGATAAAACCCGGGGCGCCGCCCCTCCCGCAGGGTCCCCTCCGCGCCGGCCCGGGGACGCGCGGGGCGGCCATGGCCTCGGGGGGTCCCGCGGAGCGGCTGCGCGAGGAAGCGCGCTGCGCCGTGTGCCTGGACTTCCTGCAGGAGCCGGTGAGCGTGCTCTGCGGGCACAGCTTCTGCCGGCGCTGTATCTCCGAGTTCTGCGCGAGGACGGCTTGCGCGCGGGACGGGCTGTTCGCTTGCCCGCAGTGTCGCGGCCCCTTCGCGCCCGACAGCTTCCGCCCCAACCGGCAGCTGGCCAGCCTGGTGGACAGCGTGCGGCGCCTGGCGCTGGGCGCGGGGCCCGCGGGGGCGCGGCTGTGCGCGCGGCACGGCGAGGAGCTCAGCGGCTTCTGCGAGGACGACGGGGCGGTTCTGTGCTGGGTGTGCGACTCCGGCCCCGAGCACCGCGGCCACCGCACGGCGCCGCTGCAGGAGGCCCTCCGGGGCTACCAGGTGAAGCCGCCGGGGACACAGGGCGGGGCCGCTTGCCTGGCGCCGGGGTGGCCCCTTTGGGACCCCCGCTCAGGAGCTCTGACGCACCGCCACTCCGACCGTCCCCTTTCCGTGAGGCCTCCCCTTTAATTTAACCCTGGTGGTGGTTTTACAGGAGATGATGGTCTGGGGTACAGTAGGCTCTAGATTACAGCCATGCGTCTGGACTGCAAACGCTTCGCGATAGCTCATGTAATGCCTTGCTTCTGCGTACGTTTCTCTCTCTGTGAATTAGTATGGCCACCAACACAGCCCTGCGGTCTGAACGTTTGTTAGAATAGTGTCAGGCTGGACGCTCAGCCCTGGTCACCTTTCAAGCCCGTGTGCCCTCAGGTAGGGATCCAGGAGCCAAGTACGCAGGCTGCTCTCCGTGCAGCGGCATTTGGGGACCTACCCTGTGAGCATCCTCAATAAAGGGGTGACTCAAACTGAAGTATTTGATCCCTGGAAGTGGCATCTGTGGAGGTCTAGAGAATAGAATCTCCAAAGTGCTGTTCTTCACAAGTTCTTGGACGTGTCTCATTTAAATCCATACTAACCTCTGGAATAGCTCTGGCACAAAAGAGGCACATTCATCTTTTGACTCTGACATCTATTGACATATTTAACTGAAGTATTGAATGGCAAATATTAACTTTCTAAAATTAATGTGATGATGACTTTGATTGTTTTAAATCGAAGTTTGGGGTATTTCCCCCATCTTCCCTCTGTCCCTGCCTGAAAATACCTTAATTTTCCTTCCTGTTTTTGGTTGTCGTCTACAAATTCAGGTGCTGGCTATTTTCCAGCTAGGCTTTCGAAGTACGATCTTCCTGCCTCTTTTTATGCAGCAGTTACCATTCAGCATGGCTGATGTGATATTTCTAAAGAACTTCCTTATGTTTAGTCCTTAATTAAATAATGTAAATTCTTCTGAACTCCTTAGCCTGTCAATCAAGACTTTCCAGGGGCCTAAGTTCTGTGTTTACAGGGCTCCTGTCCTAGTCAAACTTGAGATCCAGCAAAGCTGGCCTACCCAGGGTTGTTCGCAAACATGCCACACCTTTTTTATCTCCTTGCTTTTGCTCAGTTTCCTCATCTAGGTGAGCTTTTCTCTGTCTGTTCTATTAATTGAAAAGACCAAACAAATGCTAGTTCCCCCATCTCATCAAATGAATCTATGAATTTTTCTGCTATTTTACGTGCAGCGTTTTGCTTAGCATTATAATATTCTCTCTTTAAAAGCATTTGTTGTGTAGGACTTACTGAATGACCCTGGGAAGAGAGTTTTGGAGGATTTTTTTTCTATTTTTTCCTAAGATTTATTGAATGACTTTGGGAAGAATTTAAAAATTGTGTGCATGTCTGTTGCCTTGTGGATGTTCTCTGTCAATAAAATATGTGTTTACATTTAGCAGAGGTCCTAGGATTGAATAGTGTCTATTAAATTATTATTTTTGTGTTTCTTGTAAGATTTATGACACTGTATTTCTTTTTTCAATTAACAATTACTAACTTACAAGACTCCATCTGGTCAAATAATAATAAAAAATTTTCTTGTTATAAAGTAGTAAATCACTCTAAGAAGTTGAAATATATTATAAGGAATAATATCACTTTTCAGTCAAATGTTAGTAAATGTGATTTCATGTATTGAATATTGATTGATACCTAGTTTTGAAGATACTCATTATAAGCACTTTTTTCAAAACTGGTGTTCACATTACATAAAATATATTTATTTTGACCTTATAATTGTATTTCTTGTCATTAAATATTCTGCATTTATTATAATTCCATTCTGTTGATATAAAATAAATTCGGTCCCACTCCCTGATTTTTAACATTTTAGTTACAGTTTTACAATGTTCAATAATGCTGCAATGAACATACTTTGGATAAATCTTTGGTTATATCTGGTACTAAGATTATATACATAATTTAAATATTTATATTTAATTTAAATACAGAAACTTAAAATACATATTAATATGTTTATTTTTAACTTAGTTATCAAAGAGGTTGGACATTTTTAGGTGCTTACTAGGGTCTGTTTGGTTGATCTATTTCCTGACACACCTGTGGGGTATTAGGTCCTGAAGGAGAGCATCTGTAATGGACTCAACATATCTTCCTAAACAGGCAAAACTCCAGATGGCCCTAGAGCTCGTGAGGAAAGAAATGGAGGAGGTCTTGTCTCAGGAGATCCATGTGGGGAAGAAAACTGTCATTTGGAAGGTAGGGGAATATTGGCATGTTAGGTGGTTTGCCTATCTGAAAGATCCAATTTCTGGTCATTAAATCACTCTTTAACTATCTTCCTTGCTCCAAAGCTTTTGCTCTACTTACATAGATGCTCACATAAAACATCTCAGTGTCACCGGTCCCTTCAGATTTCATTGTGTACCTGTGTTCTTTTAATGTCTATTAACACTACCCCAACACAGATTATAAAATAACAGCCTTCCTGGTCTTACTGTAACTCACTGTTGCATTCTTAGCACCTAGAGCAGGGTCTCATACTGTCAGTACTGGTCTAAAATTTGTGAATGAAATAATAAACATTTCATGGCATTGATGTGTATAACAGACAGCTGAAAGTGATCACCCCACATATAAGAGGATAATTTAACTTTCAGCCTTTTTTCAGCCATCCATGTATGTTATTACCTATTTTTTCTCTTTTCTCTACCTCATCAGCTCTTTTTCCTCCTATTTGCACACACACATACACACACGCATGGTTCCCAACCTAGGGCAATTTTCCCCTCAAAAGGTTATTTTGCAATATCCATAGGTATTTTTGTTGTCACACCTGGGGTTGTGCAGGTGTATTACAGGCATCTCATGGTACCTGGAAAGCCAGGAAACACTCTACAATGCACAGGACAGCCCCCCACCCCCCAAAAAAGAAGAACACACACACAAAAGGAAACTTACAAGAAAGAACCATCAGGTCAGATGCCAATAGGTTTAAGAATGAGAAATTATATATAGAAACTATATGTATAGTTCTACATATTTACATAATGTACATTACATATAAGATTTATTTTATAGAGTATTTCTACTTTTTGTCCTTTTCCTAATAACTCTTCTTCTCTGATTGTTTTATGTATTTTCCTAATTCTTTTCTTCCTCTTTTGTTGAAAATTTTGTCTTACACTCTATCCTCAGACATTTCCATAAAGATTATTTTTGCTATATTTTTCTTCTGTGGTAAGTCTTATGATCTTTTCCCTTAGCTATGTGTATTGTATGTAAAGTTAAATATTTATTGATAATGCTTGTCTTTTTAAGCTAATAATTCAGGTCAATTATTTTCAGTCATGACCTGACCACAGATTTTCAGAATTAGGAACTTTATATCCAAGATTTGGGCTCCTGTATTTTTTTACCCCCTCCACTGATGATTCTACATAGAGATGATTCCATTATCCCTGTTCCAAGTCAAGGAAACTTGCATGATCTCTGCCATCGAGAATGTACCATCGAGAATGGAACAAAACATGGCTTGATGAGATTAACTCTGGATTCTAGGAAAACCATTCTTTCTATATCCATAGACATAACTGTGTTACTCAAAAGGGTGATGTCAGAGAAAGACAAATCACAGCTGCAACCCCCCACCGTGCCAGTTCTCATGCCCAGATGTGACTCCATTTTCAAGACTGTCTGTTCATTAGCCCCGCTGTCGGTGGCCCGACCTGCACGATGGCGAGAAATTAAAGGAGTCATTTTCAGACCAAGACACGTAGTTCAGGGCTGGTGGATTTAAAGGAGGAAGGATTTTAGGAGGCTAGTGGTTTAGAATGTGGGAGGATGAGACAGAGTTGGGAAATTTGAAAACGATATTGGGTCTTACTTGGGGAGAAACATTATTAATATTTATTGATTTCTAGAAAAAGAGCATAGCTTGTGCCCATTAATCAAATGAACACTTGTCAGTGGGCCAGGGAATCCAAATGTGGAGAAACTGTGCGAGAATAATTTGCCTTCTATATTGAGTATAAAGCTAAGTTGTCAACATACAAGTCTCACGAGAATAAAATTTAGTATTATAATGCTGTCTGAAAGTATGCCCCTTAGGTCTACTCAAAAACTGTAGATGTGAGATTTGGGTAGAAATCAAGGTTGATTTCCTGAATGCTTGATTCTCCCTTGGCTCTGCTGGGAACATCAGCCTTCTGGTTTCACGATCACCATATCACGAAGTAATGTTCATGTTTCCTACTCACATTTTTCTTACACGCACAAACCCAGGCCTCTCTAATCTCTCTTCATGATTCATTCGTATCCATCCTGTTCTTCTGGTGACTGATGATACATTTTCACTTCTGTTGTGCAGCTATTCTGTTAGTTACTCTGAATAACAGTTTAATGGATATTTAATTACAATCCCCATACTCCTCTTTTCCCACACACTTTATATTTGGTAATATATAATGTGTAAAATATAATGCAAAAGTTCCTTGTTCCCAGGTCCGTGGCAAAATGGAAACCAAATCGAAAGCCCTTCTCAGACTCTAGGTTTGAAACCTGTACGAAGCTACTCCTTGTACGAGTGGCCTCTGGTTTTTGCATTTTGCTAAAAAACACAGACATCTGGGCAGTGAGCACTCTGGACGTTGCCTCCCGGCTTAGCCATCCTGTCCGTGAAGCAGGAGCCAGGCACTGGGCCCCCACTGCCGATGACCGGCCCCCTGTGTCCCTCCAGGAGAAGGTGGAGGTGCAGAGGCAGCGCTTCAGGTTGGAGTTTGAGAAATCCCGCGGCTTCCTGGCCTGGGAGGAGCAGCTGCAGCTGAGGCGGCTGGAGGAAGAGGAGCGAGCCACCCTGCACAGACTTCGGGAGGGCAGGGCCTGGCTGGCTCAGCAGGGCAGGGCCCTCAAGGAGTTGGCCCAGGAGCTGGAGGAGAGGTGCCAGCGTCCCGCCGCGGCTCTGTTGGAGGTGAGGCTGGCCGCTTGGGGGGAGTGAGGCAGACAGGGGTCTTCAGGGACCATCCAGGCAGGCGTTTATGCTCTGCAGGGAAAGGGTACCCTACAAGGTACAGAGAAAGCATCTCATTCTAAATCCTCACATCAGGACTAGAAGGGAAAGTAGAGAATCACAAAGTAGTTCATGTTAAAAGAATTATAAAAGTTCATACTACGTTTATAAGACAAAAACCTAAATACTTTTTATTTTTTAACTCTAAAATTTCTGACGTGTGTACACTCATAACCATCACCCAGGTAATGATATCAAACATTCTCACTAAACCTACATATTTAAAAAAATTAATTCAGTGATTTATAGAAAAAGGACAACCTACACTCTGTTGGCTGAAAAACCCTTCTTTAAACCTCGGGGTCAGTTGGTCAATGACTATTTTGTTGTGCTCAGTGCTGCCCAATCCCGAAAGTCTTTGGTAAGTTTCAGTTAATATCCAAGCTTGAAATGTTCATGTTGAATTTTGAGGCAGATGCTAATTCACTAGCCCCTATGGCTTGCCTCATCCAGGCACCATGGGTAGGAGTTACGTGGGATCCAAGGAGCTTGCTTACCATCTATTTGGTTTTACAGAAAAGACAAATAACCCAGGAAAGGAAATATTTGTTCTTAATCCTCTGTGAGGGCGTTAAATCCCAGGAGAACTGGGAAGGCGTCATTGACGGCTGTGGGTCGCCGTGATAGAACACACCACAATTGGAATTCCCTGGCACGCCTCATCTGTATCCTCGCTGATGCACGTAGGGGATTCTGAACTGACGCCATTCACATACCCGGAAGGACAGTGACTGGGCAGCACTGGCTGGGCAGCACTGGTCACGTAGTGGGGGTGGGGGCAGTCATGTAATGAATAAAATTTACAAAGCACTTTTCTTTCATTTGTCCCATTTTGTCTTTGTTTTCTCTATATATCAGTAAAACTTATTATTATCATCATCGTCATTATTACTACGCCCATTTCCTTGTGAGTCAGCTAATGGTCAGACAGGAATTGTGTCTCTACATTTCAGACAGTAAATGTAAACTTCAGCATATTCAGTCACATTCATCCTCTTATTTGACCATATATTGAAGCCCAACTTGTTGAAAACAAGCATTTCTTACTGCCAAATAATTGTTGTGATTTGCAATGCAAATCTTAGAGAGAATATGTTCTCAAATAATTTATTTTCATTTTATACCCACCTTTCCTTTTCTTCCCCATGACCAAGAAGCAACATTTTGCTCCCAATGGTCCAAAATAAGGCTGCCTTCCCAGAAAAGTAAAGCTAATCATTTCCCTCCTTTTATGCCCTGTCAAAATTTATCTGAGAGTGGCTATTTTTAAAAGGAGAGGGAACATATGATGCAAGTGGTTTATAATCTACTTTAAGAGAATGTTAGAGATATGAATTACTTTTTTCCTTTTATCCACTTCAGTAACCTTGTCACCACACGAGTTCATGGCTCTGGTGTGTTGGTTCAGAGGAGTAAGGATTGGGATTCTGTTATGGAGACACTGACAGTAACATTCTACATCTGTGCCTTTCACTGTTCCTCAAATATGTTCTGCAGATATTTAACATCTATTTTTACCCTAACTCCATCTACTTTTGACCAGAATACAGCACTTCATTAAAAATATCCACATGTCAGAATTACCAATTCAGAAATTAAACTGATAGATGTCATAGAAATTAACCTAAATGTTGTGTAGTCTGATTCAATTCCAACAGAGACAAACTGATTCTATTATTTTAAGTTCATGAAACCCTTTGATTCATGAGCCTATTTTTTGGCTTTTACTAAGAGACATTCATCTCGGCCATAGTTTTATCCTGATGGTCAATGATTCCCAATCCCCCCTAGAGAGATGCTCATGGTTTGTCCCCAGTCTGCCCGAAGCTGTTCAGAGGTCTCACGCCTGCTGTGTTTCTATTTCACTTTCAGGGGGTGAAAGAAGTCCTGAGGAGGTATGTTTACTTTCTGAATCAGAGAATGGGTCGGGAGATGCTGAGGAGGTTGGCAGGTGACCCTACTGACAGCTGTCCATCTGTGCTCTTCTCAGAAGTAAGGATGTCCTACATCTGGACCTGGAGACCGTCCCCATGGAGCTGAAGACAATGTGCTGCATCCCCGGGATGCGGGAGATGCTGAGGAAGTTCCAAGGTAGGTTGTGTCTTAGGCCCTCGGGAACCCCGTGCCTGGGTCTGGCTGTTACCCAGAGTTTGTTATGGCACCAGTCAGGCTGCGGTAACGAAGGAGTCCAAAGCTTCCAGGCTAAAGTCAGCAGAGGTTCATTTTTAAATCATGTTATTAAAACACCACTGGATTGTGGGGCGCTTTGTTTCACATAATCTCACTATGGGACCTGTGCAGATAGAGCCTCCCCTCCGTCCTGTTGCTGTCAGCCATGGAAAAGGGCAAGGTTACGGAAAATCATGTGCTGGCCCTACCGGTGTGCATGCTAAAGGGGTGCATGTGGCTTCCCTGAAAGTAAAAATGGAAGTGAGTGCCACGGTCAGGGCAAACTCCAAGGGGGGGCGGGAGGGAGCCCTGTGCTCAGAAGGAAGGGTTTTAGGGTATTAGTGACTCTTCCTAAAGAATGTCAGTCATTGACACCCATTTAATCTACAGTTGTTAGAACAATGGGCTGGAATGTGTACTTCATTTTTAATAGCTATGCTATCAGCATTGTTAATTGCAATGAATCTCCATTTCCTTCTTTATAAAATGCTGTAAAAGAATTTGGAGGGCTGAATGAAATGCACTTGAAAACAGAAGAAAGTCATCAATATGAAAGGGTATCTAATAATAAGAGGTTTGGTTTATTATATTATCTGTCAATTTGATAATTAAATTAGTCAATAAAATAAAATGTTCAGTTATTTCTTTTTAATGTAGGAATAACCGTGGTGGCATAAATCAGCTTATGTGGTCTGATTATGTTGTTTTTTAAAACAGTATAGATTCAGTATTTTTAATTTTTCTAATCCAGTTAATGAAGCAGACTGGGAACAAATCATGGTTTTTCTACTTAGAGGGAAACAGTTTTGTCCCAGAACAAGAAAACCCAGCTTAGCAGTCTTGTGCAATGACTGTATCCATGTCACCATGTGCAGGTTAATACATAAGACCTGCATGAATTGTTAATTATTGCAGTCATTGTGCTGTCATAACCACTGTCCTCGTATCCCCTTTCCTTTTTACTGAATTACACAATTAAATAATCCATCCAACAAACACTGATATGCCAGCCACTTTTCTAAGCATTACGATATATTGCACAATAAGAACAAAAATCCCACAAATCCATAGCTTCATGTTGCAAATATTTACTTAAGTTATGCAAAATACACAGAATGCTGGAAGGGGATACAGAATGTTGAAAAGAATGAGAATAAGATAAGGGTGGCCACAAGTGTTGGAAGCAGGGCACCTAATTTTGAATATGAGGATCCAGGATGACCTCACCCAGCAGGGAATATGACTCAGCAAATACCTGATGCGGAGGGAAGCATTCCAGGCAGGAGAAGTAATGAGTGGCAGGCCTGAGATGCATACATGGAAGATACGTTCCAGGAGCAATGAGGGGGTCACTGTGGCTGCTGCGGGATGAGTGAGAGGAGGGTCAGAGAGGCCAAGACAAGCCCAAGAGGCTCAGGACCACACAGGCAGGCCACTGTGAGCAGGTGCATCACCTCTGTGTGAGACTGGAAATCAGTGAGAGGTTGTACATGGAGGACTAACATGATTGGATTTGTGTTTGTGAGGCTCACGCCGTGTACTGTATTAGAGGAGTGAGGCATGATGTGGGAGGAGGACATGGGAGCCCTTGTGTCATTCAGTCAGGTGACTGTGGATTGGACCAGGGTGGTAGTACCAGTCAGAGTCTTGGTCTACGTCAGAGGGAGAGCTGGCCAGATCTGCTGTTGGATTAGACAGGAGCTGTCAGAGAAAGAAGTCATGAGTGCTTCTGAGGTTTACGTCTCCAGAATCGGCCTAGTGAAGTCACCATTTACATCGATATTTAATGCTGAAGGTGAGGGGAGCTTGGTTTCGGACATACTGATGTTGTGACAAGTGTTAAATACCCAGATGTGGACAACAGAGGCAGGTGAATCTACAGATACGGACTTTCAGGAGGAAGGGTCAGGTAGAGATAGGCACTCAGAATCAGTAAGTATGTGAATAGTATTTCAGTACAGCTGTGAGCCAGCCAGCCCGAGAACAAGCAGGGAGCCAGATGAGAAAGGAGACTTGAGACCATGTCTCTCCAATGTAGTGATAGAGGGAGAGGGAAACAGCAAAGGAGACCCAGTAGGGGTGGTGAGTTGGAGGGGAAGGAGGGCACATCAACTAGTCTTAGAGAAAGAGAAGCTCAGGCCTCTCAACAGCATCCCAGGGCTCCAGAGGCCTTGTGAGGTGAGCTCCAACAGCTGGCTGCTCCTCAGTTTGGAAGTCACCGGGAAGATGACGCAAGCACTTTGCTGAGGTTCTGTTCCATCACGGTGGTAGAGTTCTGCAGATCAGACCTCCAGGTGGACTCAGCTGGTGTCTCTGCTTAGGGCTCTACAAGGTCAGTTGAGGTGTTGGCCAGGCTGCCTTCTCTGAGGCATCTGGGAAATCGTCCACCAGCAGGCTTATTCAGCTTGGTGGCCTGATGCAGTCCCTGGTGGTTATGGCACTTTGATCCCCTTTCCTTGCTGGAGGTCAGTTGGAGGTCACTCATCATCTCCTCAGGTGCCCCACCCCATCCTCAAATCCAGCATGACACATCAGATCCGAATCCCTGATTTCCCCTTCTGTCCCCAGCCCATAGTCAAAGGCAGTTTTCTGATTTCAAAGGGCTCATGCGATTATCTGAGGCCCACCCAGTAAGCTCCCTCTTGTCATGTGATATACGGTAATCGTGAGCGTACCACCGAGGTCTGAATGCTGTAGCGCTTGCCTTAGAATTCTGCTGACCACGGTATCATGGCTTTTAAAGTGTTGGATTTCATCTTAATGAAATTTTCCTATGGGTTTTGAGAAAGAAAGAAAATCCCAAGGGAGTTGTAAATTTTATTGTAAATACAGAAGATCTTCCTAAGAGCATCCATTGTGCTCTGGATGTAGATGAAAGGTGTCTAAACGCTTATGCACGTGGTTGTGTTTTTACTGGGCAGTGAGGAACCCTGGCTTCTGCAGAAGTGAATACATCTGAAAGTGGTGAAGAATACACTCCATGCCCTGCAAGGTGAAGTGTGAATTTTGCTTTCTACAGGAGTTATTAGAGAAGGACAAACAGCGTGGCTGCTTTCCCCAACATCTTGGCTTCCTAAGTTTCTACCAGTCTTTTCTGCCTTTTCACTTGGTCCACAACATTCTCTCCACAGTTGATGTAAAGCTGGACCCGTCCACCGCACATCCGAGCCTCCTCCTGACCGCCGACCTGCGCAGCGTGCAGGACACAGAGCTCTGGAGGGACGTCCCCAACAATGAGGAGAGATTTGACACATGGCCTTGTGTGCTGGGCTTGCAGGACTTCTCATCGGGGAGGCATTACTGGGAAGTCGTGGTTGGAGAAAGAGCAGAGTGGGGTCTAGGAGTCTGTCGAGACACAGTGTCAAGGAAGGGGGAAACCACTCCGTCCCCGGAGAACGGGGTCTGGGCCGTGTGGCTCCTGAAAGAGAGTGAGTACATGGTTCTCGCCTCCCCATCGGTGCCTCTCCACCCAGAGCGGCCTCGCCGGGTTGGGATTTTCTTGGACTATGAAGCAGGCGAAATCTCCTTTTACAATGTCACCAACGGGTCCTACATCTACACATTCACCCAGCTGCTCTCCGGTCTTCTCCGACCTTACTTCTTCATCTGTGACATAATTCCTCTCACTCTACCACCTGTGACAGAGGCAGAGGCAGGAGATCCAGCATTCAGTAGTAATCTTGTCCATGCTGTTAACGTCAGTCCTGAATATTCCTAAAATCCTCTTCCTGAGCACGCAAAGCCTGGCAATGGTCCCGGTGGTGGAGTGGAGCCCCCGGGGACGCCTCCACTCAGAGCAGCACTTTGATGATCCCCTTTCCTTGCTGGAGGTCAGTTGGAGGTCACTCATCATCTCCTCAGGTGCCCCACCCCATCCTCAAATCCAGCATGACACATCAGATCCGAATCCCTGATTTCCCCTTCTGTCCCCAGCCCATAGTCAAAGGCAGTTTTCTGATTTCAAAGGGCTCATGCGATTATCTGAGGCCCACCCAGTAAGCTCCCTCTTGTCATGTGATATACGGTAATCGTAAGCGTACCACCGAGGTCTGAATGCTGTAGCGCTTGCCTTAGAATTCTGCTGACCACGGTATCATGGCTTTTAAAGTGTTGGATTTCATCTTAATGAAATTTTCCTATGGGTTTTGAGAAAGAAAGAAAATCCCAAGGGAGTTGTAAATTTTGTTGTAAATACAGATCTTCCTAAGAGCACCCATGTAGATGAAAGGCGTCTAAACGCTTATGCACGTGGTTTTGTTTTTACTGGGCAGTGAGGAACCCTGGCTTCTGCAGAAGTGAATACATCTGAAAGTGGTGAAGAATACACTCCATGCCCTGCAAGGTGAAGTGTGAATTTTGCTTTCTACAGGAGTTATTAGAGAAGGACAAACAGCGTGGCTGCTTTCCTCAACATCTTGGCTTCCTAAGTTTCTACCAGTCTTTTCTGCCCTTTCACTTGGCCCACAACATTCTCTCCACAGTTGATGTAAAGCTGGACCCATCCACAGCACATCCGAGCATCCTCCTGACCACCTACCTGCACAGCGTGCAGGACACAGAGCTCTGGAGGGATGTCCCCAACAATGCGGAGCGATTTGACACATGGCCTTGTGTGCTGGGCTTGCAGAACTTCTCATCGCAGAGGCATTACTGGGAAGTCGTGGTTGGAGAAAGAGCAGAGTGGGGTCTAGGCATCTGTCGAGACACAGTGTGAAGGTAGGGGGAGACCACTCCACCCCAGGAGAATGGGGTCTGGGCCGTGTGGCTCCTGAAAGAGAGTGAGTACATGGTTCTCGCCTCCCCATCGGTGCCTCTCCACCCAGAGCGGCCTCGCCGGGTTGGGATTTTCTTGGACTATGAAGCAGGCGAAATCTCCTTTTACAATGTCACCAACGGGTCCTACATCTACACATTCACCCAGCTGCTCTCCGGTCTTCTCCGACCTTACTTCTTCATCTGTGACATAATTCCTCTCACTCTACCACCTGTGACAGAGGCAGAGGCAGGAGATCCGGCATTCAGTAGTCGTCTTGTCCATGCTGTTAACGTCAGTCCTGAATATTCCTAAAATCCTCTTCCTGAGCACGCAAAGCCTGGCAATGGTCCCGGTGGTGGAGTGGAGCCCCCGGGGACGCCTCCACTCAGAGCAGCACTTTGATCCTTATCGCTGTGCAACTGTTCCCACTGGGACCAAGCAGAAAATACGAAATCCTCGCATGTAGAGGGACGTCGTGGAACATGATGATTTTAGAAATGGAGGAATCTCATCAGCCTTTTTCCAGATGGCTCCACACATTTTCTTCAGAATTCCTTCAAATGAATCAACCCTGGATTAAACAAGGATTTCAGGACATCCATTATCATTTATTATTCCTTTTAAGATGCTTTCGTTCTGAGTCTTTCATATATTATGAAATGGAAATGAAAATTCTTGATTCTTGAGTTGGTCCAGAACAGCCCAATATTGTTCCTGCATCAGATCTGTAATTATTTTTCTCCTCCTTATTTTCCTCTTCCCCTCTCGGTCAGTCTCCCATTCTCTGTCTCTCTTTGTCTCTCTGCCTCTGCTTTTGTTTCTCCCTTTCTATCTTGCTCCTGTTTTTTTATACCTTCTGTTGTTTAACCTTTCATCACCTAGATTACTATATTCAGAACCACTTCTTTTTATACTTTATCTCTCTATGATATGTCGAATTACTTGCTAAGCCTTCTTTATTCTGGGATCAATTTTTAAGGTTTACAAAATTCATTCTGTGTATCTAATATCACTGATTCTCACATCATACCTCTCTGAGATGAAACTTTTCCTTTATCTTTGGATACATATTTCAGAGTAGAAATTTCTCAGAATTCTGATTCAACCAGTTCTCTGGACTAGCCATCACTAGTTGTGAGACCTCAAACAAATAACCTTTCTCTCTTTCAGACTTAACTAGTTGATATGGTTCCTATATGTGGAATATTTGACTTATTTTTAAAGTACATTCTGTACCTTCCTAACAGAATTCTTAAAAGTTGTTGAAGGCTAATTTTGCTGCCATCTTTCTCTGAATCTGTGCTTAATAAATAAGTGCCAAACAAATGCTAAATAATTAATAATTAATGGAAACTTATTTAACATTATCTTGATGATAATATTCCAAGACCTTAATCTTCCATTTTAATAACTCTACCTTGAATTTTAAGGTGGTTCCCTCTTCCAGGGAGATTCCTTTGACTAAAATCTTTCATTTATTTTCCAGGGACATAATTAACATAGCTTTATTTCTAGATTTTTAAACATTTTTCTTTCCAGGCTTTTTGTATCTGGAGGAGCATTATGCAGTATAATAATTTTATAAATGGAGCAATCTTATCAAACTCTATTTTCAGATGACTTTACATATTCTACTGGTGAATCCTTGTATTAAAGATTTCTGTACATTCATGTTTGATACATTTAGGTGTGATCATAAGCAAACAATTCCCCTCTTCATCTCATATTTGCAAACAGAGATAATAATGTATCTTTACATGCCTCTTGTTGATGTTTCACAGACAGGCCTGCCCCAGGACCCTGCCGTGCACGATCTGGGAGGAGAAGAGGCTCCCACTCCGGGTTGCAGCCCATGCTTTCCCTCATCAGGTGCCACAGGGGGTGGGCACCTTATTTTAACATTTGAGTGTTTGTGTCCCAGGAAGGCCCATGCTCTGTGACAGGAGTCATGGCAGAGAGTGTACACTCGGAGCTGCAGAGCCCTTTCCCGTGGGGATCGGGAGGGGCAGCCACTGGTCTGAGAGCACCCTGTCCCTGGGGTCTCTGCCCCTCCCTGAGACAAGGAAGCCTCATGAGCAGAAGACCACCACACAGAATGAGGCCTCCGGTCTTCAGCAGGTGGAGGGGAGACTCGGGAAAGCGCCCTCCATGCTGGGAAAGCTCATGCTCTGGTCCCCCTGCCTCCCCTGAGTCCTGTCACTTCATAGTGCTTCTTGTCACGATTTTCATCTGTCATTAAACCAACTTGCCTCTTCATGCCTTGCATTCCAAGCTTCACAAAGGTTTGTGGATCTCCTATTATGAGCCCCTCCTTTCCCTTTCCAATTCCTGGGAGGTTTCTACTCTTCTTTCTGGAATTCAGGTTATTAACAGAAAAATTCTTTAAATCCACACCTATTGCCTCCTTCCCTTTACTTTCTCCTGCAGACCTTGTTCTGATACAAGCATGCACACACACACACACATACACAACACACACACGCATATACAACACACACACACACACTCACAACACAAGCTTTTCCGTCACAGTGGACAGCAACTCCAATTGCTCAAGACAGGAGCCTGCCTGATCTCTCTGTGTCTCCAGCCCGCATCTACTCCATAAGCAAACCTTGCTGGCTCGACCTGCAGAAAATGCCCAGTGTTCAGCCAACCCTCACCTCTCGGCGACTATAACCATTGTACAAATTGCCATTCCCTCCCTCTAGGTTATGATATTAATGTACTGAAAGTCATCCTGGCCATTCCCCAGCCCTCCCACATCCACTCTCAATGCAGTACTTGGACTGATCCTTTTAGCATCCAGGATTGCAGAAGTGCCATAGCTATGAACTCCATTCAACTTGCAATTCAAGTCAGGATCTACAGTGAGTCCCCAGGGCCTAGAGGATCAGTTCCTCCTCTGATTCGGTCCCCCTCTCCTGACTTCCCTTTATGTCCCCCTCCCCCTCCCCCGGCCTTCTCTCTGGGTTTACACCATACCAGGCACTTCCCACCGTGGGGTTCTTCTCCCAGCTGTGCCCTCTACCTGCCATTCCCTTTTTCTAGACGTCTTGTCTTTACCCATTCCCTTTCTTCCTTTAAACCTGCTCAAATCCAGCTTCTCAGTAAGAACTATCAAGCCTGCCCCACCCCAGAGCCCATGCAGAGTGCCCCTCACTGGGCCCAGGAGGCTCTTTCTCCCAGTTACAGTGCTTACCCACTCCTGGTGTATTATACTGTTACTTTATTTATTAGGTTTGGGTTTTTGTTTCTTCTTTTCCCTTTTCTTGGTAGAATGTAAGTACTCTGAGGGGAGGGGACCTTTGCCAATTGATAAGGATATGGTCTGCATATCTCAGGTACCTCAAATACTGGTTTGTATGTGATTATCACTCCATGCACACTTGGTGAAAGAATACATGATTGGCTTCTGGGTGGCAGAGTTAAAGGATGGATCTGAAACGGTTGTTTCAAAATATAAGATATTATAGTATTGTTATTACTTATAAGTAGATAGCCACTGGTCAATAAAATTTAATGTCAAGTGCTAAATGAGTAAAATTAATTTTGGGGTATTGAGAAAATTTGAATAGAAGGCTAAATTGTAGAGGTGATGGATTCTAGTGATATGGTGACTTGCCATGTCCAAACGTGGTCCCCTTGAGCCCCTGTAGCTTTGATTCTCCATGACAACACTACGGTGCTTTTGAGTCATGCATTGTCTCATGTGCACTCATTTGACATCAGTCATACTCAGTAGGAGGGTGTGGAATGTTCTATGAAATTAAATGGGCTCAAAGTGTTTATTAAAATTGGATCTTTGATGCTTTCTGAGCCCCTTTTCATCTGAGTTGCAGAGCAGAGCCCCAGCCCCTCCCTATGGCCGTCTTTGGTCGGCTGTCCTCCCCTTCCCTTCCCTGCTACCATGCATCTCTGTTACTATGCACTGGACTTTTACTCTAGCCCAAACTCTTACAAAGAATTAATAAAATCAAGAATGATTGAAGAGTCGACCCCAACCTTAGATTTTAGTTTTTCCAAAACTAGAATTGTCCAGAGCTATGTTTAGTTTAGCAGAAGACTAGATGATTTATCAAAGTAGCTCATTTGATTACTTTCACCCCCCAACCCCCCAGTCAGGTGACTGGTTTCTTAAGTGGATGGACTGACTAAGCTAATTATTCCAGCATGTTGGGAAGGCCTTGAATGAAGGGAACTGCAAAGAGGGTTCTATGTGGGGCTGGTTGGGGACAGGAAGTAAAGTCGCTCCATTAGCAGGCAGAAGGGACTTGACATATCTCGACTGGTGAATCAACGCTTAGTATCCCAAAAGGCAGAGAAATTGGGAACACTGGGATTTGTTAAATCCATTTTCTCACCAAGTGCCAGTCCCTCCATGCATACTTCCTGTGTGCCACTGGGACTCTGGATCTGCCCCTGGTATTTTACAGGGAAAAGGGAGGGATGAAGGTGGTCTAAACATGTATAAAATACATATTCTACAAATCTTTAAGTTCTACATGTTCATTTTTATAGAATATTCTCTTCACTCCCTGATTCCGTAACTATTTCTATTCAGAAATACTGAAATAATGGTAAGTTCTCCAGCCAATTGACTCAGACTCATCTGCTTTTCATCTGATTTTGCCTGACTGATCATGGTGACTCAATTTATATTCACTTATTTACTTTTTTATCATAGAAAAAATGACCATCCTTGTGACACCATACTTGACTTCACAAAAGCATTAAAAACATCATCTATATATACAACAAAAAAATATGGGGTTCATGATACTTGGTAAGGTCCCCTCTAATTAATTTTGAAGCTAAAGTATAAATCAGTATATGCTGACATCTTCCTTTCAAATCAAAAAATCAAAAATGCATAAATCAATGAAACAAAATAATTCACCCTATTACCTCCTTCAATTTATCATAAACTTTCTATTAATCAATGCACCTATGACATTTTTCTACTATCTAGGACAATGAGTTATTTCTTTCACATAAATTTGTTTTAAAGAATGGTCAAAAACAGTTTTGCCCTATTTTCAGTAGCTCTAAGGAGTAAAGAAAGAAAGAAAAAAGCATGCTTCTGTTCCAGGTAGGCTGGGACTCATTACGACTCACTTGTTTAGACTCATAATAATTCTTGGAAATAGGGGAAGGGAGCAAATGGCCCATCAGTATTACATTTATATAACAAACGAATGAGTACCCAATTTTACTTACATGAAGTAATGAATCCTTTTTATATCAAGGGATACATTTCCACGGGCCTCATTTGCTGTCTGGACCCTATAGGAGATTGGACAGTTTCATGAGATGCATGCCTGCTATGTATGTACTAATGACTCCCAGGGATTCAGAGCTTTCTCCAGAGTTTAAGACTGTTGATGGACCCAGACCACTTTCAGAGTCCCTCTCTAGCCTTTCCCCAGGAAAGCTGGGGAAAGTACTATCACTGCCATAAATCCCTCCCTCCAACACACACGCGCACACACAAATAGCACGGCCCAGAGGAGAAATGACTTCATGTTCTCAAACACCAGGATTTGTATGTGGGTGGAGCCCCTGTGTGGACCCAGGCAGGGAGAAGACTTTGAGAGACCTGATGGAAGTCCTCCAGCTGGGTCTGCACCTTCTGACTTCTGACTTTTAATGGTCTCTGGTAGCATGCACATAAAAATGGTGAGTATATTTCTGGGTTTAGGAGCTCAGTTTTTAAATCTGCACTTCTCTGTTGGTTAAGCAAAAAATGCATGTAGAATTCTCAAAGGGATAGAGAAATATAAAAAGAGCAGCATTCATTTTGCTTTTGGAAAGTTAAGGATTATGACGTGCATACATCACAACCACTATTGTAACAAAGCAGCAAACTTTCCAATGCAAACGATTTTTAAAGGTGATATATACAATTCTGAAGAGGAAAAGTATGAAGAAACACAAAATGAAAGTTATTTTATTGTTGGAATAGAGTTTATTAAGAGATTTGTCAGAAGAACAATACCAAATGAACAGTCTAAACTCACAATTAATGAAACTAGGAAAGGAACAAATGAGGCCAAAAGTCAGTGGAAGGAGGCACATAATAAAGATTAAAGCAGAAATAAATAAAATTGAGAAGAATAGAACAATAGAATCAATGAAAGCAGGAGCTGCTTCTTTGAGAAAATAAGCAGATAGATAAACCCCTAGCCAGACCTATTAAGAAAAAAGAGAGACTATACACACATAAACAGAATCAGAAATGAGAAAAGAAAAATCACTATGGACATCACAGAAATACAAAGGGTTAGGAGAGAATACTATGAAAAATTATAACAAACTGGATAACCTAGAAGAAATGGGCAACTTCTTAGGAAAATACAACCTTCCAAGGCTGACCAAGGAAGAAACAGAAAATCTGAATAGATTGATTACCAGCAAAGAACTTGAATTGGTAATCAAAAAACTACCTAAGAAAAAAACCACTGGATCAGATGGTTTCACTGCTGAATTTGATCAAACATTTAGTGAAGACTTAATACCCATCCTTCTTAAAGTTTTCCAAAAAGTAGAAGAGGGGGGAATTCTCCCAAAGTCTTTCATAAGGCCAACATCACTCTAATAC